TGACCTTAGAACTGAAGAAGCTTCTCGGATGAGAGGTGAAACGTCTTCAAGCAACTTGAAGTCCAGACGCTTTTCTTTGCAAGCTCCTTTGACAATCTGTCTTGAGAAATGCCTTTAATTCCTCTCCTATAGTAAACAACCTGGCGATAACATTTAGCACATTTCCAATCACAGTTAGCTGTCCAGATCTTGCACTAATCTCTACCTGGAGATGACAGCGACAGTACGGTTTTTACACGAACCCAAAAACAAGCCCAAATTATAAAAAGGAAAACTTGAGTCAAGCAGATTGAGTTGAATATTATTTCCCATTGCCCTTGGTCAATTTATAAATAGAGCATTTTGTCCATCCAGTTTCTCAACTCTACAGTCTTCAGTGCTGAGCCTGTCAGGTTGGGAGTTGCACCTCACTTCTCTGGGTGACGCTGAAAGATTGAAACTCCTCCCCTTTGTCCTCAGGGTACAGTTTTCTTTAGCCAGTCCTAGCTAAGCAGCCGTTACGTGGCTGCGTCTAATGTTCATCGAGCATCCCTTAGGGATGAACCAGCCAGCTATTTGCATCCTCCAGATCCGTTTCCAGTTCCTCGTCTTCATCCAGAGGCTCTGGGGTTCGAAGGGCCAGTTGCCGCAGGAAATCATTTGAATAGGCGGGGGGTTTGGAAACAGACTTCAGGCCGATTTTTTTCTTCGTGAGGTGGAACTGGTCACGGACAAAGTTGTAAAACTCGTACTCATAGCGCATGCGGTGATACAGCACCTGCAGGGCCTCTAAAGTGGGGGTTTGTTTACGCACAGTGCCCGTCATGTTTCCCATTTTCCTATAATCTGCAACAAAATGATGGAGAGACAAAAAAACAACAAAGTTCAGCAAAGACTAAAATCAAAATGTTTTAAAAAAAGTTTCAAGCATATTTATTTAGACAGGAAATTACTTAATAACTATATCATATATCATCATCTTAAGCCACTTATTTTTCCAGTTAAGTAGCAAGTGATTGCTGTTTAATGTGAACGATTCATATATCACCTCATCTATTTAGATATCTTGCTACTAAGTCATCATGACAAGCGGTTTGCTAAGCTGGACAAAAATAACATGCAGCTCTTGGTATTTCTTCCTAGCTATATCTGTCACTATGGCCTTCTTGCTCTGCTTGTCCACCACTACTATGTCCTGTTGGTTAGCCATCACCAGTTTGTTTGTCTGTATCTGGAAATCACAGGATCTTAACTACTATCCATATGAGTGCTAAGAGTGCTACTTAACTCTTATTGCAGCTCTTATAAAGGTGATATTTTTGATAAATCACATTACTCTTCTTCATACAAAAGGTGTTGCTACCTTTTGTATGAAGTTACTGAATATTTTTCGGAATAAAGATCACCCCAAATCATGTAATAGCACATTTTTATGACACTCAAAATAAACAAATAAACTGTATCTTGTGATCAGAACTTTATTAAAAAAAGGTATGCATAAATCAAATCATGAGAACTAACTCTGTCCTGTGTGGAAGTTAGAGCATTTTAACGGTCACTACCAGGCTATGCAAATTTGTGACAAAATACCCGCAAAACTATTCACATTCTAATTACGTTGATCACGTTACCATGCTAAAGAGTTTTTTATTGTCTTGTATAGGAAAACATTCACTCGATGCTCTGTCAACATAAAACATTCTATATCACAAGGTGCAGCTACCAGGGCTCTTGTAGATGTTGAGTACTCCAGTAAAGTAATGAGGTAAGAGCCTCTCTAGCAGGAGCAGAACGTCCTCCAGCTCCTCCAATATCCCCACAAGGAGGTAGTTCTCCAGCACATTCTGTTTGGCCCTCTCCAAAGCCCATACTCCTGGCTCTCTGTGTGAGACAGAAGGAAAATAAGACCAAGAGAAAGTTTGCAGTAGAGTAGCATTACTTGGAAAGAAATATCACCAAGCTTTTGTAATGCAACTTGACAAAATCTCATAAATACCTGCACTGAGGATGCTGTCCACAGAAGTAGGGGATGATGTAGAAAACCCTTGGGTTGGAGCACTCAGGGTAATTCTCTAGGATGCAAACATTGATGTCCTGAAAGCAGACAAGCACATATGAGTCTTTATATTTTTGCTTTACTAATAATTTATGCTTTTTAAATTTCTTTTATTCTACTTGCAGTGAATTTGATCTCAATCAGAATTGCAATTATTTCTTTTTACCACTAGAGGAAGCTATTCACTTGCACTGCCGTGAACCTGGACTGCTTGCCGGTCATTACCCCACAAGCCAAAGTGCTTTGTCAAACCACATCTTGTGCACAAAGATAAGCTCTTCCCTCTCATTTCAGTTGATCTCAGAGGCTATGATACCACCATAGGAAGACAAAGTAATTTCAAATGAATCCGTGTTTAACTTACTTAAAGATGTCACGATTAAGATAATGAGACCAGAGTTGTGAAACTTGAAAAACCACTTATCTGAAAAGCTATTTAGTAATGAATGGAAAAAAGACAGGAGTGAAGCTGGCCAGCGACTGAGTGCCACGGAAACAGCAGTCAAATCCATGTCAGGTGACGTAAGCCTCAGGGATAGCAACAAGTCCTGAGCAACAAAACACTCCACGAAGCATGGCTCACATCCACATCCACACACAGCAGCAGGCACATGTGTGCACAAGACTTGCGCTCAAATATGTCACCTACAGTAGCACCAGACTACATGCATGAGGCAAATTTTGAACATTTCGTCATAGGTTGTTGTTTAGATTTATACCATAATGGCGCTGTAATGACTAACTTAAACAGCAATTTGGCAAAAATAGTCTAAGCCTAACATGGATCATCACAAAAATGGCCAAGTCCGACAGGACAAAAGTCAGAGAGCCTCATGCTGCTGCTCCTGCTGCTCCTGCTGCTGCAGGTGTGGCGTAAGAAATCATCTGAGTGCAATAGGAAGCTTGAAACAGAGATGCTGACTGGAGTGTAAACATAGAAAAAGGCATAAACCATGTGTAGAAGAGCATGTTTATATGCTTAAGTGTTTATGTGTCTTGGAGACATTTGCACACTCATTGCTAATGTTTCTATTAGCCTCGACTTCTTTATTTATTTCCAGTTGTATTTTCTGGCATGATATAAAAGCCTTACGAGAACACCTCATTGAAAAATGTTGCCATCAGGTCTGCTCGGGGTTTTTCATACAGTCTCAAACATCTTTTTCTAAGGTTGTACAACCTTTGTTCTCAGACTACATAAATAAAAACTGAATCCTGTTAAAACAAATGCAAGAAAGATCCTGGATCCTCTGTAGGAGAGGCAGGATTGCAGTAGATGTTACATAAAGTCTGAAATACTTGCAAGTGAAATGACTTAAAGGCTCCAAACGGAGAAAAGACTCAACTACAATATCATGGACTTGATATTTGTAATAGTGATATCACTTTAGCATCTATCTAAGCTGCAATCACAAGACGAAGCCTTGTGCAGCATGCGCTGGAATGAAATAAATTATTCACTTGATTAGTTAGATTTTTCTTGCGGCTGAAAACTGTGGTACAATTGTGCCTCTGATTCACAGAGTGGCTGCAGGGTGTGTTTGAACTTTATGAGTGACTCCTCTCAGCTGTGCACTGGGAACAGGACTTATTGGTGATCAGTGAAGCAAAAGACTGGAAAACCCTTCAAAGGGAACCACAACAATACCCCAGAGGAACCTTCAGGGAAAAAAGAAAAGTTCAGCACTGTACTATTGTTAGTGTACGAGTCTTGCGCAGACTTGCGTAAAGTTTGCCAAGTTTTTCTTTCATTTTTCATTTCACTAGCACGGACCACATCTTCAAAACATTGTTTCTTGAAGGAAAACAGTAGGTGGAATAAAGCTAGATCCAGGAATGGAGATCTAGACGGCGGTTTTGGCGAAGGCCTCAGTGAGGACTGGAAGGCAGCTCGCGGACTGGGCAGATCCCCAGGTACTAACGACAGGTTTATGAAGCGCCATTCTATTTAAAGAATGGTGATGTGAGTAGATCCAGTTTCATCAATTATGAGTATGTTCTTTGATGCAAAAGCCATATACACTAAAACCAACAAAAACAGACAGGAAGTGGCACATTCGCTGACAGAGACCCTTATGCGTCAACATTTAGGCGATTTCTGGGAATCCAGCCACAGCTTGTATACAACAACGCACACACGTACACACACACACGCGCGCACAGACAATACGCACTCTCTTTAGAAAACCTTATTAGTATTTCAAAGAGAGTTCCTGTGTGCACACTCAAGCTCATTGTTCCTTTTCTCACTGTGGATTATGCCAACAGAGCATTCACAGAAACTGTAGCAAAATAGGCACTAATCTGTACAATGGTCTCCCATTTCACTGAATGGAATGTAGACATAAATTAAATCAGGGGTAATTGATGATGTTAACCTTTCCCATGGGATGTTTTGCATTCAAATTTGAGAAAACAATAAAAGAACTTTTTGTTTGTATTTGCTATCTGGAGGCAGTGGAAAGATGCTTTTGCTTTTTGAGTTAATCTTTTGAACACATAAGCAAGTGGGTGCCTTTTAAACAGGTACATCAGCATTTCTAGTAAAGATTAGAGGTAATAACTGTAATTTTAATATTCTTTAAGTTTTAGGCCTATTTTGGCTTAACCATTCCATTTATTTTTCTGGTAATTTTACAAAATTGTCTTGAGGCTTCCTGACTGAATTTAATAATTAATGTTGGTAATCCACTCAACACTGACCTATGAATCATTCAAGCAGGAAACGGCATCTAACTCAAGGGATGAACCAGCGTTGTGTCTACATAAAACAGACAAAATAGCAAAGAAACTATTTAAAACTTTACCTTTAGGCACTTTTTACGTGCAGTCTGTCACAAGAAAACAGAATCTGTTCTCATGTCTTTAGTCAAATCTATAAAAATGCCAAAGTTGACTAAGTTTGACATATCTCGGCATAGTTTGCAGTGTGTCCTTAAAGCAATTTAAGGCAGCAAGACAAATTAGGTTTTAATTATTAAAAGAGTCAGGACCTATGCTTTGCACTCATGCTTTTCTTCAATATCAAAACACTGATTATAGTTATGTTACACAAACCACAGAAATTCATTATATGAAAAAAAAAAGCTGTAATGAGTGAACCTCATGTGTTCGTTGTGCCTTAGGCCAACAGTATGACACACCACCTGTCTGTTATTGTAGTCAAGGCAGGCTAAGGCAAGACTGGTGCCAGTAAACCCTCTAATATAATTTGTGTATTTATTTAATAAGGCTACTTGTCATTTTAAATGTTGGATTATTTCAAATTACTGTGGGAATCTCATCTGATTGAACCAGTATTTCCAAGTCTTGAGAAAAAGCTGGGCCCTTTAGGTTCAGTGAGGACAGACACTCATTTTTTATAAGTGTTTGCAAGCGTATTCATATGTAGGCTGCCACACGTGCACTTTGTACTTTGCGGCAAGACAGAGGTTGATTTAGTACTGTCAGCGGATGCATCTGTATTTTGTTTTAATTCATAAAAAAATATGCACACACACAAACACGAAACAATCAAACACTCAGCTCAATACAATATAAATTATCCAACCACATCATTCCAAGTTGGCATTTTAAAGCAACTTAAATTCGCATAATGGTTCACAAAATAACTGCGCATGTGGTAAATATCATGTGTGTCTGAGTGTGATTAAGTGTGTGCGTGCTATGTTCAACTGACCAGTGCATGCCTTTGTATAAAGTAGCATGTGTGTATGTAAAAGGGGGTGTGGGCACTGACGGAAAATCCAAGCCGACCACAGGAATGTCTCAGTAACACGTGCATCAGGCTCCCTCGGCCCCGGCTAGCAACTGACAGCGCTCTTTCATCAACACCTCACATACAAAACCAACACAGGGCAAGCAGGGCTGAGGCACACCAGGTGGAGGATACAGCCATGCCCAGTCTGAGGGTTGATTCTTAACATTAGGGGTACTCTTTCCGTACATACTTGAATTTGTACTTATAGTGTGGACATTCATCTTCCCAATACTGTCAATGAAACTTTAACCATGAAAGACCTACTTAATCTCCCTATAGAGGTGACTCGTTTGCCAAGAATCAATGCAGTCCTCCTCCTCTTTTTCCAAAAGGAAATGGTCGTGTGAATATGATGCCTTTCACTGATTTGATATTCTTTGTTTTTCATGTTTATTAATTTCTTATATATATATATATTTATAATACATGAAGCCCCAAATGTATGTTTTTACATATAATGCATTTCTGTGCATATTCTGCAGTGTGTACTGTTTTCAGCAGCCGTGTACACCGTGCAGATGGAAGGCATGTTTTTGCAACAACTGTTTTTTTAGTTTTACTGATTAGATACTAGAACTAGGTTGCTGCTGTTGCTAATAAAGACAGTACAAAAATAACACCAGGAGCAGCAATGTAACATAAAAAGCAAAGTAGGAAATGAAAGGAAAACTGAGCCTGAAAAAGTTTTGATTTATGAGATGCTGCCACGAGACACTTTATGCCAGTGCAGTAAGACAAAACCTGTGGATCCCCATCAACATATTAATTCCTGATATTTTCAGAGCTTTTGGTCAGTTACTTCAAACCTTATAAGACACTCTAGTGATTTAAGTACAACACAGCATACCTAAACTATACTCAATTAAATGATTAAGCACCAGAGTTAAAATAATCTAAAAACAACAACTTTTCTTTACTATTTCTGGAATACTTTCTCCTCATAAGTGTGTCTAAAGCTAAATGCACACACAGGTAGGCTAGTCGATGACAACACAGCCTTCCCCTCTCCTTTAACTGTAGCAAGGGGCCCCTGTGGTCTGCATACTTTAATAACTCAACTCACATGGTCCAAAACTCCAGGGCAAACAGTGCAATACTTAATTACAGCGAGTCAGACTCAAGCCAGAATGACATTCGCTCCTCTTGTTAGCTTCTCAGAACAGCCTCCTGAACCCTTTAGGTCTCTCATAGCACTTACTGTGGGAGGAAAGAATGAGAAGAGTTTGTGCCTAATCTTGAACAAATATTAATCCGATTTTGTTTTGACCTCACTTTTGTTTTGACACACCGTTTTCCGTTTTCGTTGGATTCCCCCTAAATTTCATATGAGGCTTGGGCGTCTCACTTCAGCGGGGATTTCCGACCTCCGATCAGAAGCTTCGTCTCACTTTTAACTTTTAACTGTCATCTGCTTAAAAAGTATATAAGGGAATGGAGTGAACACAAAGATCAAAAAATAGTAGCTTGAAAATTACAGTATGCTTCCAAATGGTAGGTAGAGTTAAAAAATGGTATGCAGTGACTTCAGTATGGTGCTACAGGGATAAACAACTCTGTGAGGCAGATGTAGGATATCAAGTTTCTGATGTGGTAAATCGAGTCTTTAATTCGAATCCTAATCAGATTTATATATTGGGTTAGCGTCAGACTGCCATGGGTTTACAATTTGCCATCCACCCTCGAGCGACACCACATGTGGGACATCTTCAAAGAGAGGAGAGTGTGGTTTTAATATATTGCTTATATTTTTGAATTTAGGAAGTTAAAATTTGTCTCGAGACAGCAACAAACAGAAATACAGAAGAAAATGGCTAAAGCAGAATATTAATGTCAGTAGGATCATCTCTTCTTAACATTTTTTAAAGAGATCCTACAGGCTAATTACAGTGCAGTGTATAGTATCATTACTACTTATATGTAGAGCATGTATAAACATTCCTCAATATACATGCCTCTGTAATTAAAGTCTACATCATGGAAACACCAGAATAAGACTTCATTATGCAACATTTCAGTTCATGTCTCTACTCAGCATCACATTGTGAAACTAGTGGGCCTGCATCCAAAGTTATTCAAATTTAATGCACTGTTACCGGCAAACCAGTGATTCACGCATAGCAACTAAGTGTGTTAGCTTGTCAAACACTTCTAATGCATTCATATTTCAAATCACAAGCATCTCTGTCACTGATTTAGAAAATGTCAATATGAGAGCAAATGGGTTTGGGCACTGGGACCAGCATTAAAAGCAGACAGAGGAAAAAGGTTCAGTATTTGTTTCTCATTAAACTCATTAAATAATACTGTTAAAGTTTGTGGGCACTGGATATTGTGGGATCAGAACACCATGGCGACCAGATGTCTTCCCCCTGAAAAAGTCACAGCGTCACCTGCTGTTACGAGTGTGTTTTCTCATTGTTGAGAGCTTCTCTGATTTGGTTTTTGAATTTAAACATGTGAACATCAGATTTTTGCAAAGTGGTTTGTGGGCTATAATTATGACCACATAGACCTCATTGTGGTGAGTTTTTAGCTAACCTTAGCCAGTTTGGTTAGTATCTGTGAGTTAAGTGTGATGACCCACTCCACGCTGCCTTCCTGTTGGCCTGTTTGTGGTGGGTGTAGGTGTTATCTGCTGGCATTGGAGAGCTGTTGTGTCCCATTTCCCATCAATACCACTGTCAACACCTGGGCCCAGTGTGGCAATGGTTTCTAAAAGCCATCAAAGTTGCAGGGTGGAGGCTCTCCTATCTGAAATAATCTTTTGGATTTTGTTTGTTTTTTGGGTTTTGCACTAAATGTTCCATATGCCATTTTTTCACCCTGACTGCACACGCCACAGACGATTTCTTTCCTTGTTTTTTTTTCCAATTTAAAATAGTCTTTTCATTGGCATTTGTGTGCATCTTCCCCACTTGTTTGTGACAAGTATGAGCTTATCTATTTAAATGCATTTGTTTGTGGCTGTTTTGTTTTGTTGTTTGGGTTGTTGCCATTACATTATGTTTTGTGTGAAGCATGCAATATGCATTATGTTTGCTGCAACTTGTGTCCAGGATTATATATTGTGAGTCAGAACTAAGTTGTTTGAACTTGTTTGGTTGGTTAATTTGAACTGTGTCTGTCTGGTAAGCTTTTGATCCTACAGCTGCTGTGTGTGTGTGTGTGTGTGTGTGTGTGTGTGTGGACACCTGGGCAGGTGTGAGCTATTAGCAGTGATTGCATGGTTCTCTAGTATAGTAGGTGAATTGTAGGCATAGCAACGTGGCCCATTTGTGCTAGTTGTAGTTTTTTTGTTTTGGTTGTGTCAGGTGAGTCACCAGCTTGCTGCTGTTTAAATGGCTCACCTCTAATTTCAATAAAGACTAGGGTTCATAAAGTAGGTAAGCAGAAGGAGGCTTTTCCGCTTTGGTTCAGGGACATGTTGTATCTTTCATGTACTAACCGACCTGGGGCAATGCTGTTTGCTGGCTTTGTTTTTTTTCCCCTCTCTTCCTGGGTCTTAGACTGAATCATGGCAGGGAGGAATTTGTTGCATCACCATTAGACGGTTTTCTGGATTGTTGTACAACAGTTCACCTTCTGATATTTACAGACAATTATGAACTTGATTTGACTGGTCTTGGTGATAACTGTCATAAAGAAAACACAAACTCTGAGAGTAACTTGCAGCTGACTGAAATAGGAGAGTTAGTGGCTGTGCAAATGAGAGCTGATCACACATCAATACCGTCACGTGCGATTACACCAGGAAACCTGGCTTTTGAACAGCAGAATCAGAATCATCAGAGTCAGAATAATTTATTAACCCCTAAGGAAATTATGTAAATGACTCACTTTGTTGCAAATGACATATGAAAAGGAAAAGCAAAGCTGGAGATTCAGAGGCAAAAGCTGGAAATGGAAAAGGACAAGCTGGAGGTTGTTAAACAAAGGACAGTTGAGCAAATGCAACATGAGCAACAAGTAAGATAGACTTGCAAAATACTTGGCTGGGTTTGGTAAGTTTTGCTGGAGGAGCGAGTTTTACTGGGGTTATTAAATCGGTGAACAAATAATTGTTGAGGATGTTACTCAAATGTTTTGAGTAACTTACCGTTTGTGACTGAGAGCAGGTAGACTCTGGGTTTTTTGCACTAAGCGACACTGCATACACCATTTCTTTGCCAATGCACTTATTTACACTTCTTATCATACTGACTAAACACGGCATAAAGTTCTTTCCTTGTTTGTTATAAATGAAAAAAAAAAACAGTCTTTTAATTGGCATTTGTGTGCATCTCCCTTTTTTAGTCATGGCCGTGTGGCCCAGTTTGTGATAAAGGTCTACCATATTAATAAGACCTTTTAAAAAAACAACTTGAGCACAGACTACTTAGGCAGCATGTTTATTACCATTGACCTACTCAAGCCATCGCCCTTTGTGAAAAAAAAACTGCATTAAAACCATTCTAAGAGACTTAAACCACAATAAAGGTTCAGATCAAATACCCCCCAAACTAGTTGCTTCCTGTTAAAGGGGAGGTTTTCCTTCCCGCTGTCGCCAAGTGCTTGCTCATAGGGGGTTATCTGATTGTTGGGGCTGAACTGAATTGAACAGATAGGAATGGCCTCTTCAACAACTGTCTTTTAGATTATTTATCTGAATTTCAGGTTCGGGATCACACCTCATACACTCCCCCTCTGGTTCGACGACTATATAAACCTTCCTACACTATAAGTTAGTTCACGATTTTGTGCCCCACCCTTCCCCACTTTTCTCAGCTCTCACGCCTCTCATTAGTATTTGGGGATTTGCCAGGCCTGGGAGCAGCCACCACTCCTCACTGAGGCCTTCCACAAACTTCGGTCTATCCTTATGCCACTTGTCATTTTCTGTTAAGAATCACCATCAAATCAAAATTGAGGATGTGGTGCCTTCTAGTGAACTGAAGCGTAGCACAAGAAGCCGAAACTATTTTTTGTACTATGCCGTAAACATGTTTCTCCTGTAAAGTTGACCATTTTGACATTGGAGTTTATGGGAACTCTTTTGCAGCCAGCCTCAAGTAGCAAACAGCTTTGAAGAACCGCAGTTTTTGCCGCTCTGGTAATGATTCTTCTTTGTTAGTCTCCGAGGCTGTGGTTAGTTCAAACCTCTTTGTTTATAAGAAAAGCAATACATTTATTCACCATCTTGGTTTCTTGTTGTTTCATTTACAACAAGGAGAGAAAAAAATGAAAGCCCAAAAGCCCAAACCATAAGACGCATATCTACGAGAACTTTAAGCAAGTAAGTCCATGTGCACTTAAGGCTTTTCAAAAATAAAATGTATCTCTGCAGAAAAGCTTCTCACCAGGTATCTCTCGTCATCTTTCATCCCTGGAGTTCGGATTAGGTGGTTCTGCTCGCCCCTCCAATCACCAAAGCGACGGAAGAAATAGTTGGAGAGGAAGCGATTGATGGGATCCCGGATTATGTTGATATACACAGGCTGCTCTATCTTGAACCTGACACAGATAAATAAAAAGCACTCAGTAAGAACCAAAAAAAGAAACCCAAACAACAAAAAAAAACAACCCCAATTTTAGCCAACACTCATGAAATACTTTTGTAGACATTACCTTGTAAAGTTGAGGAAGTGAACATGTCTGGTATAAAGGAATGGCTGAGGAATACTGCTGATATTTTTCATTAGATCCACCTGGGGGAAAAAAAGATACTCATTTGATGTGTCTTTTTACAAAAATGAATATGCATAAAATCAAACATCTGTTATGGATACGGACAATTTAGACAAAACAGCATCTTTAATTTTTGTTTTTTTTTAAAGAGAAATCAAAAATTCCCATCTGAGTTAGTTAAATATTTGACCTCAAATAACCTCTCATAAAATAAACAAGTCATTATGTAAATAGCTATGGGGCGGCCTGGATTCACAATAAAGAATCAGAATGTAATATCACTGTTTTGTTCATCTCACAATGTTCATCACCTCAACATCTTGGATCTTTAGCCAAGATTTTGCCAACACTTCTAAAGCTGTTATTCAAAGTTTCTTCACCCTCTGCAGAATGAACTAATAAATCAATTAAGAAAATGAAATAAAAATATTCCCACTGCGCTTCCAGGTCTGCATGGGGAGGCAGGCAAAGTACAACTACAGAGTGCAGAATAGCATAAATACTAAGCAACTGGATCCAAGTTCTTAGTCATTCCTCACATAAAAGGTTCCATATTGGAATAATTCACTATGTAAGATCCAGTTATCAAAGTCACACATGTAAAAAGTTAGTTTAATTCAAGTTATGTCTCTGCATCAGTAAATGATGCAGTATGCCTAATTTAAAAATAATAAAAACACAGAACAATGACTCAAAGTATTGGCTAGCTTGTAGCGACATTTAAGTACTTTGGGTGGCTTTTACTTTAAGATGTGAGAGTGCAGCGCTCTTTTCCAGTTTGAAATATACTAAGCTGCATTTGTCTATTTGTATGCAAGTTGTGAATATATTTTCCCCTTACTCATTTGCCTTTCTTTATTCCAGTCTCTGTTGTGTAGTTTAACTTTGGCAAGTTAATTTAGCTGTGCCTTTAAAGACAGAAGATAAGTGTAAAAGAGATTATAGGGCCAGTCTTTCAGTATGGCCACAGGGGAAGTTAAAAAACACTGGTACTTTGAGTCCAAAAATGAATGTACCTCAAGTCCGAGTAGCTTCTGTTACCCATTTGTCTCGTCTTACTTTAATTTTCTTTCATTTCGTCTCTCAAATTACGGAGACCTTTTCTCCTGCACCAGAGTCACTGTTAATTACATGACACATTGTTTTCAGGAACTTTTTCTTTTCATTTTTACCAGTGATAAAACTGCAATAAAGTTCATCCTATTTCTCTATACCAAAGCCCTTTTGACCAGTGAGCAGAAATCGGCACTGCAAAGCCAGGAAACAGACTGCACAGCTCGAAGTCATATTCATGTGAAGTTTAAGTCAAAAGATGTGTTTGTGTGTCTGCGTGTGACTTTACCCATCAGTTTTATGTTTCGACAGAGAGATAGAGGCTGAGGACTGTACTGAGAGGCGAGGCTAACCCACAAAATTAACTGCAGAAGACGGGCAGAGATGGTCTCAAGGCAAGGTTATAATGGGAACAAGCATGACCATGTCCAGCACGAAACAAGCTCAGTGGCAGAACAATGCAGGCGATTTGAGAACAAGGGAACAAAACATAGTGATCCCAACTCCTCCATCCTAACTATATATAAAAGACTGACAGAGCTTCTGATACTTAACAATTCCTGAAAGCAGTATTGAAGCACCTTAAAATCTGTATTATTTTCTACTGGCTATCAGCGGCGACTGCTGTGGTTGGGGGAAAAAAGGTCAGATAAAGAACGGTGTCCTTTTGTAAGAACCTATCTTGTTTTGAAAAACGTATTATATCCCACTACTTCTGAGTGATATTCACTTCTAGCTTGTCATATCTGCTTCAATCACCCAAATGGCTGAATTGCTCATCATAGGGTTTCAGGATGGGACTTGTATGGTTGCCCTCATAACTGCTGTGATACAATTGCTTCTTTTTGTTGTATTCGTCTTTCAGCTTGTCCCTTTATTGTCGACACAGCGAATCATCTGTCATCTCACCCTATTCCTAGCATCCTCTTCTTTCACACCAACCCTCTGCACATCCAACTTTACTATCCGTGAATCTTCTCTGTGATTATCCTCCTTTCCTCCTTCCTTGCAATTCCACTCTACCCAATTTCCCCCCCTCTGCCCAAACCATCTCAACCTTTGTCTCTCTTTGTCTCCAAACCGCTCAGCCTGAGCTGTCCCTCTAACATACGCGTTTCTAACTCAACATTTTCAATTGTTACCTCCAGCACGGCCTAATGTCTATTCGCCAGTGCTGCCATCTTCAAACCATACATTACAGCTTGTAAACCTTCTCTTTCACTCCTGCCGCTATTCTTCTGTTACAAATCACAATCCTGACACCACCCACTCCACCTTGCCTGCACTCGTCTTCACCTCTCTTGTGGACTGTCCATTGCGTTGGATATAATAGACTTAGATATAATTGGTTCTTCTTGTAATGCCTTCCATACTCCACACTTATCAGATGCTGTCACTGTCACCTCTGAATAACAATATTGTTGCTACAGAGAGCCATAGTCATTTCTGTCTACAATCTGCAGTTCTACATTGCTGCAAATTCAACAGCATGGTGTGCTTGGGTAATGAGGATCTGTAAGACGTGACTTTAGCACCTTAAATCCACATCTTCCATATCTAGGGGAATCTGGATTGT